ACCTTTAGCTTATGTCATAAAACAGCAAAACATCTGGCTGATGATCTGAAGTAAACAAAGGTTCAGAAGCCCCCAGAGATCCGACTCATGTTATATGGAGAAGATGTCCAGGTGCCCGGCTCAGATGCTGCCTTTGCAAGTGAAATGTTTGCCTCTCATAGCTGGTGCCAGCATTGTCGCCTTTTACTGCCTAATCTTGAAGCTGTCCTCCTCTCTTACCATGGAGATGTGAAATTTACTGTGGAAAGAGTTGAGGGCAAAGCCTCCATGATAAGAAGGAGTTTGCAAGTGCAATTTACATGAAATAAATGCATCTTCACGACAAATTTGTTTCTTCATTTGATTCTGAGCAATGAGAGGGCTGTGACATCCCAGTTTTGCTGATAACATCCTCATTTAGATTTCTGTGTTCTGCTGGAAATTCTAGAATTGGAAATTAGGATCCTTAATTTAAAAAAAAAATGACAATTACATTGGCATGCTGGAGAGCGTGAGACTGCACGTTACTAGATTCCATCAAGCTCCTGAACAGTCGCTGACACTCTAGCAGAGAGGAGGCAAGCCTATTCAGGGAGCCACGAGCACAGGGTGCAGATGAGGGTTCCTCGGGTGGGGGAGGCGGGGGATGGCCGGGGGGATGGCCGGTGTTGGGGCAGAGCCACCTGCAGGTCATTGCCAAGTCCTGCCTTTTGTTTTGGGTGGTGAGTTTGCGGATGCTCATTCCATTATTACAAACAGCTAATTTAAAAAGCTAACTAAATAAAATCAGGCTACGCATGGACCATGATGGAAATCTCTCATGAACCAGGGATGATGGTTAATCCAATACTACGCACCTGAGGTCCAATAAGAAAACGAAACAATCAAAACCAAACCTTTAGGGATGGTTTGAGATTTTGATTTCGTAATGTGCATGCTTTTTCTCGCCAGTTTTGATTTTTTTCCTCACTAATCTTTTCAAGTACCATTTTTCCTCTCCAATCTCAATGGCCAGGTCTCCACATGTGGGTTATTTCTGTTCATAAGGATCTCAAGCATCGGGGATCTGGTTAACCCCTCTGGTGGGCACTGAAGCCTCACCAGGGCAGAAGGAGGGTCCGGCCAGCTCCAGGAGAGGGGAGCATGCGTCAGCACTTTGACGCAGCTGGTGCTGGGCGTGGGTGATCCAGAGCGGCTGGCGTTTTGCACTGGGCATTCAGAGGAGGGACGGAAGACCCTGCCAGCGAGACCACCTCTGCTGGGAGCCGGGGTTCCCACACTCGGAACTCCCTGCACCAAGGACGCAAGGCATCTTTTACATCGGCACTTGGCTACTCATCACTCACTGGGGACCGCGAGAAATGCCTTTGCGTGTTCCGGGGCCCATGTGCTACGCCCTGGAGGATACGGAACACACAGTGGGTGCCCATTCTGGGTCACACACCATGCTACGTGTGCGTTCTCTCTTCACCCTCAGAGCAGCCCTCCTCTGCTCCTTCGCCCCTGGTCGTGCCATTACAGTTGTCAGCCGTGTGTGTATTCCTTTGTGTGCCCGAGGGACACTGGGTATCAAGGGAAGGGCAGTGGGCTCTGAAGTCAGACTGGCCTTGGTTCCAATCCCAGCGTTCCCACTGCAATACTTGACACGTCTGTTTAATTTCACCCCTTTAAGCTCAGGTTCCTCATCTGCCGAATGGGAACGACAACACTGATCTCACAGGATCGTGTGAGAAGTAGGTGAGATAATTCATAACAAACACTTTTAAAGTTTCCCTTGCAGAGTAAATGCTCTCTATTTTTTTTTTCTTAAGAGACTAGGATCTGTAAATAATTTATCTTCATATTCCTGCAGGGCCCAATACCTGGTAACACGTTCGTTAGCTGTTTGTTGAATGAATGAATGAACGGATCGATGCGTGGATGCTCTTTGAACATGAGAACCCATGTTCTTCCAGCCTTCGTTCTGGTCAGCCCCACAGCAGGTCTGGGATGGGGCAAGCTGTCTCCCTCAGCTCCCTCGGCTCTGTGCCGTGGAGGGAAGGAGAGAAGAGTCTCTGGTCTTTCCACTGACACTTGTCAAAAGGAAGAACCACCACTCAACGACAAACCTCTTCTTTTGCTGCCCAAAGCTTCCCGAGTGGTCCTAAGAAGGTGGTTGGCTCCAGCTTCTCCTCTGCGAGACCCAGGGGTGCCGGACCCCCGCCTTGGGAAGGGGGCAAGGACTGGGTCCTCGCTGGCCCCAGTGGAGGCTCCCGAGACCAGGGGCACGGGTTCCCCATGCCTGGCTTCAATGCCCAGGCCACTTCCCAGCACCCCCAGACCCTGTTATTTCCTCCCATGAGGGGTGGAGATTCCAAGGATGGGGGGAGGGGAGACAGGACCTGGGGCAGGCGTCCCCCCCACTCCAGCTCTGTCTTTCCAGCAGGCCCTGTGCTGGGTGAGTTGATTTTTCACCTCCCTGTTGCCGCTGTCTCCCTGACGCCAGCCCCGTGAGCCCCTCCCTTGAGCCAACGAGCGCTGCTGGCTGTGGCCCTGCACTGGGGACAGCGCCCTGGGAGGAGGCAGGGGCGTGAGTGCAAATCTTGCCTTTGCTGCTCACTGGCTACGAAATTTTAGACGAGTCGCTTTTGCTCTTGGAACCTTGTGATTCTCGTCTGTAAAGTGGGACACTATTACCCACCTCCAAGGCCTGGTGTGCGAATTAGCAGCGCGGGATGCGCACACATGACGTCATCTCAAACTGCCGCGACTGCCAGCGCCGTCGCTCCCCCTACTCGGGGGCTGACGCATGGCGAAAGGCCTGGTAGATCCCAAGCCCCGGATCCGCTCCCTGATATGTGCTAAAAATAAGTGTTTTTTTTCTCATTTTCTTAGCTTGGTCAGCAGCATGGAGAGACCCTGGCAGACCCCGGAAAACCTCGCTGGAGCCCGAATTGTGGGCAGCCCCCGTGGATCCCGCTTACAGGCAGCAATTTAAGAGGCAAACGAAACATGACAAGCTACTCAGAATTAACAATGGGCCAGATGGTAATGCTAGTTTGAAGCAATAAAACATGATAAATAGCTTCCTGCTGCTGCACTGATCAATTTCACTATTTAATAATGCCGCCGCCGCCCCACCCCCGCACTTGCCCCTCCGCAGGATCCTGCGGAGACTCCCGCATTCGGCCCACAGAGCAAGCGCTTCTCACCTTCTGAAGGCATCAGCAGAAAGTGCCGCCGCGCGATTGTCACACGAGCACGCTCAGTCCTCGAAATGATAATTAATCTGCTTGCCTCTCCCGAAGGCGCCCCAGCTCACGCCTCTCCCGGCTGCCGGGGAAGGCTGCCACGGAGCCAACTGCAGAGACGCGGCAGACCCTGTTGACTCAGTGACTGCTGGTGTTCCCTGAGTCTGGCTTTCGAATTAAAGGAAGCGGAGCACCGGGGCGCTCGCTCGGTGGTCATCTTACTCCGGGATCAATTAGGAGGAGAAAGCAACCCGGAAAGGGGGCCGAGCTGGGTGGGCGTCGCAGCCATGTGTATCCACCAGCCATGTCTCTGAGCCTCAGTTTCCTCCTCTGGACGAATGGAGGTAATCTCACCCACCTCCAGGAGAACTCTGGCCAGTGCTGCCCATGGCAAGTGCCTGGCAGGGAGCTTGGCATACAGGAAACAGCCAACGACCGGCAGCCGGTGCCATCATTAATTAACCAAACACGAAGCCACGCAGTGAATGGTAACTGAGAGCGAGACCTGGTACCCTGTGGGAAGGGCCTGCCACGTTTCCGCGGCCGGGAAGTTTCTAGCCCACGGGGGTGTGGGGCAGGATCCCCAGCCCATGGGGGTGTGGGGCAGGGTCTGCCAGGCCAGCAGCAGCTGTCAGACCACCCCCAGGGTCTGCCCAAGCGGTGTCCACTGATAGGAGTAACCGCCCTGCGCTGTGAGCGAGGCCTCCAAAGACCTCAGGGCAGCCCTGGGAGCAGGTGCTGTGGGTGCCGTTTTCCAGGCTGACACGGACCGCCCAACCCCTGACTCCACGTCTGCGGCACCCAACCGCAGGAGCAAGCTGCCCCGCCAGGCGCCCCGAGCTCGGGGAGGCCAGCGCGAGCCGGGCGCGGCGGGGCCCAGGTGCCGCGGGCTCACGGTCGCTGTGCGATCTGGTCACCTGAGCTGTGGCTTGCTCGTCTGTGAAATGAGACCCGGCGCCTACTGCACTGGTTCGCGGGGACGGTTAATGAGACAACATGCATGAAAGGACTCGGCCGTTTTGCGATGAGCTGTACAACTGCTGGTCACGGCTATTACAGTTTTTTAGAAAAACTCCCTCTGCGAGGAAAAAGATCAGAAACTCATCCTGCCAAAGGTGGATCCTTCTAACAGGATCCTTCACCGCAGGACCCAGGGGCTCGAGATCCAGTTCTCTTGTTCAAGGCTTTGCCGGCTCCCGGAACCCCGTCGCTGCCCCTTCCCGCTTCCCTCTGTGCTCCAGCCCGTCTGAACTCCTCGGGTGGCAAGAGCCCAGCAGCCTCTCCCCGTGGCCACGCCAAGGCCGGGCCACACCCTGCCGCGCGTCCGTGCCCGCCCCGTCCACCAGCGTACTCGGCGCACCCTTGAGGAGTCCTCCATGGGGTTCTCTGATGGCTCCTCTGAGCCCCCCACCCTGCCCAGCACAGGTGTCTCGGCTGCCTCCCAACTCCACGCGGCTTCCTGCAGGGTGAGAGCCACACGCCGCGTGCCCCGGCCTGCCCAAGGCCGGGAAATGTGGGCGAGGGACGAGCGAATGAGTGAACAACCGAGGGTCCCCAGCATGGAGGGATCAAAGCCTTGGCAGAGACGAGGGAGGCTGATGGTGGGATTAAGATTTGGCAGCAGACTGTGCCCCGGTTTTAAACCCAGCTCGATCCCTGGAATAACGTCTAGATCTGATAGGCTCACCTGCCTCCTGTCCCCACCTGCACCCTTGGCAAGAAGGAACAGAAAGTGTACCACCCACGCCTTGGGGGCCCCCGTGGGCCACGGTGAGGGTGGCCGTCAGGTACCTGAGTCCCGCTGGTCCAGGGCCATGGAGTTCCACCTCCGCGTGATGTCGATGTAGAGGATGTCCACGGCGGCCATGGACAGGCTGCTGCTGCTGAGCCTGCAGTTCCTGCCGGAGACGGGAGGGACACGTGTCACTGCGAGACCCAGCCCTGTCCTGTCTGTCCCTCCTCCGTGCTGCTGTGGACTGGACGTTTGTGTCCCCCTGGAAGTCACAGGTTGAGCCCCCAGCGCCCCAGTGTGATGGTGTTGGAGCTGGGGCCTCGTGGAGGTGAGCAGGTCATGCGGGTGGAGCCCTAGTGAGCGGGATTAGTGCCCCCCTAAGGAGAGGCATGGGAGCCTTCTTCCCCTCTCTGCTGTCCCCACGGGGGATGCGAGGAGAAGGCGGCGGCTGCAAACCGGGAGGGGCCTCACAGACACTGCACCTGCCAGCACCAGGGTCTCAGACTTCCTGGCCTGCAGAACTGTGAGAAACAAACGTTTGCGCTTAAGCTGCCCAGTCTGTGCCACGTTTGTTCTGGCGGCCTGAGCCGAGACGATGCCTTTGCCGGGGCCATGTCCCGGGTGGAGCGCCCTCCCTTCCCGCAGCTGGAGCTAGTGAGGGCGGTGGCTGGAGCTAGCAGGGGACGGTGGGCAAGAAGCTGGAGATGCACACCAGGCTCAGTCCCATGGGTTCCTGCAAGTTTGGCCATTTGCTTAGTTAGGGGCCGATGGGCTGGAAAGAGCCAGGACTGTAGGAGAGCAAGTCTCGAGTTGCATCCTGGCTCTGCCATGTGGAAGCTGCGTGGCCCTGGCTAGACTATTCCACCTTTCCGAGTCTCCGTGTCCTCACCTATAAAACGGGTGGTCTTTATTCAAGTCACTGCGTGTTGGCTTGGCCTTACACAGCAACGTGGGTACACGCCAAGGTCCACTGCCGTTGTCGGCTCCCTTCCTGACCTCTCCCCCTCTTCTCCCTTTTCCTCTTCTCCCTTTTCCTCCCTGCCTGCTCCAAAAGGGACAGAGAACGCCGTATGTCAAAAAAGACACCCTGTGTGCACGGCTTCACCCTCCTATCTATCAGTCTCCGGGAGGAAAGGGCAAGCTGGGCCTGCCAGTGTCCAGGTGGCTGACTGTGCCAGGCTCAGGCGACCCGATGATGACAGTGCATCACCGGCACAGGCTGACGCCGCTGCTACTGCTGTCAGAGCAATTCCCCACTGCAGATGCTCCCCAGATGAGTCCCTGAGGCCGAATCTACAGACAGCGGCTCAAGGCCTCTGCACTTCTCCCACCTTAATCTGTCACCTGGAGAGTTCACGTAAGCCCTGAATCAGCCACGCTAAGCCCAGGATTTACAGAGCAGAGCGGCACAGGCTGGGTCCCCTCCCCTCCGTGCGGGCTGACACAGCAGCACCGGAGAGGTGCCCCGTGCTCATTCCCGACTTCAGAGGAGTCACCTGGAAGTGACGGGAAGGGGGGCAGGCCCTGAGCTCCAGCCGTTCTGCTTGTCTAGGTGCAGGGAGGCCACGGTGACCAGGTTTTCAGGTTTCAGGATGTCAGCACCGCTGCTCCCTGCCCAAGCCGTGGGGGTGGGGGTTGTGGGGAGGTTAGAATCTTCCTCTTGCTTCCACTGCCCTTTTTACTTGCTCGGGAAATGTGGGGCGGCATCTGGCAAACTGAAACGAGCATGGTTTGGGCAGCAGGGAGATCGGGATTTAAATTCTGGCTCGGCTGACTTTCTCTAGCTGCGTGACTGTGGGCAATTTCCTGAAAGCTCCCGTGCCCTTATTTCCTGGTCTCTAAAATAACGAAAATGATACCTGCCCACACGGTTGTTGAGGGAGTGAGTACACGCCAAGGCCCACTGCCGTTGTCGGCTCCCTTCCTGACCTCTCCCCCTCTTCTCCCTTTTCCTCTTCGAGAAACACCTCGCCCTGCAGGCTCCCCGAAGCCAACCTTTCAGCGATGACCCTGCCCATTCTGGAGAGACGGCGCTCACCAGGGGGGCTGCCTGTGCCTTGGGCAGCCCGAAAACTAGACCCCGGGGCCAGCTGTCAGGTTGGCTGAACTACATTCAATGCTGCTTTCAACTTCGCAGATGAATCCACATCCATCGCCCCAGCTGATGATGAAGTGGTTCTTTGATTTCCCATTTGTCATTATCCCCTGTGTGAATAGCTCCGTTAGGAACCGGACAGGGGAGGGGTTGATTGGCAGGCAGGCTTTGGGCATTCGGAGGCTCCTCTCCAAGCCCATGCACACCCCTAACGGCGGTGGCAGGGCGTGTGCCCCGCACGGTGCCCAGACGACGCTGGTGCTCCCTGTGTGTAACCCCAGCACTCTGGCCCGTCCTCCCTCCTCCCTCTTCCCTCCCCTCCCTCCCGCCGCATTTCCCAGGCACACCCTGCCTCCTCCCGGGCTCCTGCTCCGCGTTTCAATCACCAGTCACGGTGGCAGACTTCAAAGCACATCAGTGCACAGTTATTGAGTCCCAGTAACAACATGTCAGGGGACGCGGAGGTTTTCACGTCACCTGTCACCAACGTGGCTATCTCTACTGGGTTCTGCTGGGGACGATGTTCCGGTCTCTCCCGAGGTAATCTCCCAGCCCACTCTGCTAATTTCCCCAGCTTCATTAGGAATGGCCACAGGTGTTCTCTAATTACCATATCCGTGTCCTCTGGACTACCTGCTTCCCCGCAGGACGGGAGCAGTCTGCCTGCCTTGCTCCGTGGGTTAATGGAGTATAAAAAGGAGAACCAAACTGACCACTGGAATATAGTGACTTTTCCTCTGACAGGTAGAAAATAGAAGTGTCAAACCTTTAGCAGGAGCTGTAATTTACGAAAGAGAATTCTCTGTTTATCCCCTTTCCAAGGTAGTCCGGCCTCCCTAGCGGTGCCTGCAGGTACGGCTGATTGCAACACCTGCTGATGGGACAGAGGGAGGACGCATGACAGCAAAGGCTTCAGAAGAATTTTGATTCTGGAGGCATTTCTTGGGCGCCATCTGTATGCCAGGGCTTCTCCTGCTGATCAGCTTTCTGGAGCTTTACAGCCACTCTACGAGGGAGGCATTCCTTGTTCCATTTCTAGGGAGGGTTAAGCTGAGGCTCAAGAGAAGGGACGTGACTTGCTCAAGATCGCTCAGTTGGGATTCACATCCAGTCCTTCCCTGGAGGATGGAGTAGTGGGTTTGGGAGCTGCCCGGAGGCGGCCCAGTCCAGGGCTGCAGGAGTAATTAATTTAGCCAGTAGGGTTGGAGCCTGCAAAAGGCTCCTGTTGGGAGCTTTGGGATGGCCGGCTAGGGGTAAGGCAATGGGGACCACTTGGAAATAAGTTTTCCCAGGTTTGTTTCCATGGTCACCAAACATTCTCAATCAACCTAAACAGGGAATGACTCCAACCATCAAGACATCAAGAGTTTGGAATGAAAGTTTCATCCCTCTATCCAATCAACAAAGAATTTGTTTTGTGCTTACTCTGCGTAGGCGGGATGCTAGGCCCGTGATCAAGGCAGAGCTGAATGGGCCGTGGATACGGCTCGCACTCTCAGAAAGTCTAAGTGACCCCAGAGTCTGGGTAAAGCTGTGAAGCCTTGGTAGCTCTTAATCATTGGGAACAGTTTCCCCTTATGCCCTGCGATGCGCTTCTTCAAATGACTAATGAATGGAAGGATAACTTCTTTAGCGGAAGAGAGGTCCAAGAAATATGGTAATATGATGAAGCCAGAAACATTCCTAAGACAGGATAGGTTAGAGACGTACACTGACAAAACAAGCTCCGGAGTCAGATGCACATGAGTTTGAATCTTGGTTTTGCCCTGTGACCCCGCACAAGTCAGGGAAGCTCTCTGCATCTAAATTCCCTTCTGTGTACAGTTTGAATAAGCCTCCTCACCGTACGAGGCTCTTTTAAGGACTAGCCCAGGGCCTGGCCCACATGGGGAAGTGGCAAGTGACAGTTCCCGTTCTTCCTCTCGGATGTAGTACCGGTTTGAAGAAATGTCTTTTTTCTTCCTCCCAGAATCAAAGGAATTTGAGCACATATGATGGGAGACAATCACAAACCATTCAAGTTCATTAGGAGCCCAAGTAGAGAAAGATTTGGAATGATTGTCCTATTTCCTCGTAACTGCTGACATCTCATGGGAAGCTTAGGCACTGAGTTTTCCCACTCCATGAAACCTATTTATAGAATTTCTTTTGTGTTCGTCCTTCTCTGTGCAGAATAGAAGCTTATTTTTCCTGGAGAGGTATCTAAAAGGTTAAAAAATGATCAATATTTATTTTAAAAAACACACACTAAACATCCAGGGAGAAAGAAGACAACTCCAGGTTACGATGTATGGATTTTAAAGGCCATTGATATCCACGCAAAGGATCAGTCTCACAGTATTGCTGGACAGGGATCATCCCAGAAGGGCGAGATTTTTGAAGTCACTAGGAGTTAATGACAGAGTGGAAAGCGAGGCCCTTACACCACTCTTCTAGAACATTCTATCACATCCTGTTTCCTCTCCGAGACTGAAACCCCCTCACAGCTACCCACTGTGAACCATATTAATAGCTCCTTATGATAAAAGGGACTTGAAGGGAAAAAAAGAAACAGAGAAAGTCATTCTCTAATTCAAAAGGAGACCCAGGATCGGAAGACACAAAGTGGAATGGCCCCGCGTGAGGCCGAGGGTCTAGGTGCAGAGGAACTGCTGCGTTTCCTGGAAACAAACCGGCTTTGGTGAACTGTTTAATTCCCAGCTGCCGTAACGGCAGATGAGGCGTATGCACGTGCATGTCAGGCCACGTCTGGAAAAGGTGTCCTGAGTGAGTCACTTAGGATGCCCCCAGGTTGGTAATGCCCTGCAAGGAGAATAAGAAAAATGCATTTCCCTCAAAGAAAGCTGTCAAGCCGAAGAATCGATCAGATAATTTCTATTTCTTAGAGAGGGAGATGCCTTTGCACCCCAGCGATTATTATAAAATAAAATTTTTAAGAAGAAGGAAAAGAGAGGCACTTAACTCACGGTAATACGTGCTACTATTACGTGCCTCCCCAGGAAATGACACGAAAAGCTGGTTAGATAGAGTTAAGTCTAGACAGGAGAACAACAGTTCATTACTTCTCATTTCTTGGTGAAAAAAGAAAAATAGATATGGCCGGGCTGGCATTAGCATAATTCACTCCGAAAACTGCCGATCTGTGCAGCACATTATGAGCCATGGACACAGAAAATAAATTCAACCGGAGTGTTTATTATTTCCTTCCCTCCAGTTCTCGTCAAGGAACTCGGAGAGAGGGAGTGGGTAGAACAGATGAGAAGCCAAGTTCAACTTCTGCCGTTTGCGTGGGAGCACTGCGAGGAATGTGCGTCTCACCAGTGAATATGTCTTTTCCCAAAGTGCTCCTGAGAAGGGCACCTGGTTCGATTTAACATATGGCATAAATATTATTAATTCATAATGAAGCGAAATTTAAAGCAAAGTGGAAAGGAGAGAGAGAGAATAGTTGTTAGCGAGAGAAAATGCTTGCTGTTAAATTTAGCTGGCAAGAGTGAACATACTCAGATGAATCTCAAAGCAGGGAATGTCATCTTTTACAATTAGGTTGCTGTTGGGGTTTCTTGGTACGTTTTAAAAGGACAAATCTATTAACAGTTGTGCAGTGTTTTCTCCATTTCTTCCTGCCTCCTTAAGTACTACGGGCATGTGTTGGGTAGCAGGGACAGGTGACCACTGTCTGAGTCAGTGGCTCTGGCTGCCGGGTCTCCACCTGAAGACATGGTCTCACGGTCACACAGATGAGGAATGATTGGCTGCAGGACCTAATAGTCTCTAATGTCACAAAAATTGGGTTTTCATGCAAATGCCCTTAATTATAGAGAGCAAAAGGATGGAAAATCATAAAGCCTATCACATAGAGGACAGACCCGTAGCGATATTTCTGACATCACCCAGTTCTAGTCCGAGAGCGTTTTAAGGATCTTCTCTTTGCTAGAATCTTCCTCCATCCTGTTTTCAGGACTGTGTATAGCGGTAGCAGCCCTCCTGGGAGGACTCATGGCAGAGGTCACCCACCAGTGGTCTCTATGAGCAGGCATACTTTGATGGAACCCACAGTGTTTACAATTATTTTTCGGATTGCTAACATTTATATAGGTGTATTGAGATTTCACACAAAAACTGGTATCTCTCTGGCTTCTCTTGAAAACTCAAAAGCTCTGGGGATACTGAGTCCCAGCAGCCCCTCCTTTGGACAGGGGACGTGCTCTGCAGCTCGCCACAGCCCTGCCTTGCTGGCCCTTCTCTGTCCAGCCCTCTGCGCCCGTTTATGCTTCCTGCCTGCCCTGCAGGCACTTGAGATGGTAATTCTTACTGTTGGCTGTTTTTTTTTCCAAATCTCCCCTCTCACTTGCATTTTGGTAGGATTATATTAGGAGTGAAAAGGAAGCATTTAAGGCTCTTCCATCAGTTTAGCCTGGGTGCTAAGCCTTCTCTGCCTTCTGAACACGGGCCACGCACGCGGCCCATTCTCAGGCTCTCCCCGCCTCCGGGGCCGTGCGCCCCTCCTTTCCTGCCTGGCAGACGCCCGCCTCTACCAGGCCAAGCCCGGCCTCCTCTTGGGGGCCTGCCTTGATTCTGACAGGTGGACAGAGCACCCCCTATTCCGGCCCTGCGGCACTCTGAACACAGCCCCGCCGGGTCGCCCCGGAGCCCCTGGCCCTGGACTCTGCCGAAGGATCGCATTCAATCATTTGTGCGCCGTGTGCTGTCGCTTAGACAGAGGGTCCCTGGAGGGCAGGCCGGGTTCCAGTGTTTGTGTTCGAATGTCCTGTGGCTGCCAGGTGCTCTGGGTGAGCTGATAGGTTGAACTGGACATAGTCATTTACGGCGTAAGGCCCGGACAGGGCAGATCTCACAGGGCCGGGGTTCCCGCAGCCCCCCAGACGTCGCTGGCGTGCAGCCAAGCCACCCCTGCGTTCTCGCTGGTCCTGAGCCGAGTCTTCTGCGCCATGGTGCAGAGGCTGGGAGGGCCCAGAAAGCCCCTGCCTTTGCTCCAGAAGGGCTGGGCCCAGCTGTGTTATGCTGGGAAAAGTACCCCGCTTGCTCAACCTCGTCATTCCCAGGGTCCCCGAATGCTTCCACGGTGCGAGTGCCCTCACGACCTGGGGACTCTGCCCCTAAGCTGTTTCCTTAGTTTACAAGGTCCAAGAATCATAAAGGGGCGGAGACTGCCTACCTATCTTTTCCCTTCCTCCTGTCTTTCGCTAAAATGGGATAACACTATGCATAGTTATTTCCTGGCTTCCCATGCAGATGGTGGTATCCAATAACATGGAAGGAGAAGTCACTGGATACAGCTTCAGGGAAAGCTTTTTAAAGGGATCTAATTCATCTGGTGAAGGACTTTGTTCTTCCCACCTTCTTCCTTCTTCCTGCTGGGAACTCAGCTGTGATGGCTGGAATCTGAGCAGCCATCTTGTGACATAAGACAACCCTGAAGTTGGAAGCACATGCTTAGGATGGATGAGCAAAAAGACGGTAAGCGGGACATTGATCATATGGTATACTCATTAACCAACCCTAGAACCCCCCACTGGGAAAGTTCCTGTTATAGGAAAGAAAATTGCTCTCACTATTTAAGCCATTTGTAGATGGGTATCTATTTCTGAAAGTCAAATGTAATTCCTAAATGAGTCAGAGGGTGTCATGTTAGGCAGTCTTTTCAGTGCAAATAATAACGTGTGCCTGTTGACTTTTTAAAAAATTGCCACTGCCTAATGGAAATAATAACCTCAAGGCTCCTACTGAACAAGTAGCTCCTATGACCCAGGCATTGGGCCAGGTGCTTTATGATACCTTATCCCAACCTCATAGCCCCCTGCAAGGCAGGAACGATCATTCCTATTCCAAAGAGGGAACTGAGATTCAGAGAAGATAGGGATTTGCCCAAAGCCACTCGGATATTAAATAATGTGCTTGGCCCTGAAGCCAGACCTGTCTGACCCAGGAGCCTGTGCTCTTTCCACTGGACACTTTCCTCCCCTGCCTCAACCTTCCACCTGAAACTAAAGCGAACCCTTCCCGAAATCGCCACGCCACTTTGCTTCAGTCTACTGAAATGGCAACAAGGTCTGCCAAGACTTCCGGTTACCAGCCTACTAGGACTAGCAGGAGGCTGGAGTTAGAACTGATACAACTTATTTGGAGAAAAGCCTTTGACAAAAAACGGTCAGGACTTCTAATCAACTCTACACTTGTAATGACTTCTTTTAGTGACTAAAACTGTGAAAAGTGTGGTGCAAGGTAACGCAGAAATATTAAAACCAATGATGAGAAAAACAACAGCCACATCGAGTGCTAGCAGGTATGTTCCTTGAGGTGTATATGCCGCAAGTAATTGCCGACGAACAGTCCCCTGTTGTAGATAATTCACATTTTTTAAAGGGTTGTAGAGTCATTTGTCTAACACACACTTAATGGGAACCTACTTTGTTCCAGACCCTGTACAAGACCATATATATATGTAAATTTTATACAAATATATATGAAATTGCATGGGATTCTTTTAACCTTGTAAGAAGAAAATAACATTTGTTGATCACTTACTGCATGTGAGATGTTCCTATGCAATCCTGACTAACCTTACGGACACTATCAAAGGGCAGGGGCAGATTCATCCCATTTTACAGAATGAACTCACTGAGTTTTTGGGGTGCTCACTAACTCACCCTGGGGTTACTTGCCCTAGAAGCTAGCAAGTGCTTCTGGATTGCCCCAAAGTGCCCCGCAGGGTGTAGGCAGTTTAGAGAGTTGTCTCAGGAAACCAAGTGGCAATTTCTTACCTTGCAGCAAAAATATAATTTCTTTGTTATCTCATGTTTTATCTTTGAAATTCATGCAAATTTGCTCTATCCTCCATAATATAACCCTGTTATTTTTATATTAGAACAGATGTATTAAAATATTTATCAGCTGAATTATTTAAGTGTTCCCTTCTGAAATTGACACTTTGGAAAGATGTGCCTTGTTTCCCGGCTGTGGCTGTCAGCCACACCGCCACGTGCCATGGGAGAGCCCCCGCTGGAGCCACGCAAGGTCTGCCTGACTCCCAGGGGCAATCATTAATATGCATTTTAAGGGCCTAGTTCAAAGTAGCACAGAATTGTTTTGGAACCATGAACACAAAGTAGTGAGTGCTGTCACACCCATAACATTCATCAGTTCATTCGACAAACGAGAATCTACTATGCGCCCGGCCCAGTGCCAGCCACTAGGCCAGTCCGGCCTGAGTACTGACCCAGCACGGCAGGCTCTCCCCAGTCAGGGAGACCCGGCCGGCCGGGTGCGGGGCAGGACTCCCCCTGCCCAGACCCGAGCCGGAGGGCGCTGCCCTCACTGACCTTATGAAGGTGCGAAAGCCGGTTGGTCCCAGCTTCATGGATCCCTTGATTCCCAGGAACCGGATGAACAAGTTGGCCATCCTGTCCACCAGGCGCAGGTAGTTGAACTGCTTGGCGTACTTGGGGAACACCTGCTTGAGGCAGATGGAGGGCAGGTGGGCTTCGGGGTTGGCGGTGACCTCGGGGGCGCTGGTCGGCTCCCTGTCCGGAGGCTCTTCTTTTCCGGCTAGTGGCTTTTCAAGCTGCTGAGACCTGCAGACACAAAGAGGGAGTGACAGCGCACCTTTCCTCGCACGTGCTCGTTTGCTCGGGATTCGCAGCGACCTCGGTAGGCAGGCTATTTTTATTTTACAGACCAGAAAACTAACCTTGGAGAAGTGACCAGCCCAGGCTCACGCAGCTAGTGTGTGACGAAGCCAGGACTTGAGCCCAGCCCAGAGCCAGGCCCGGGGGCCTCCGCTACCTCCGCGCTACCACCCTGCTTTTCCAATATGGAAAACCTCCTTTACCGTACTCGTGATTCGAGAGAATACTCTATTATGTAGCAGTCTGGGTTTGATTTCAGACTCTTACTTATGGGTAGTAATTGAATAATTAAGAAATAGAAAAATCTCATTGAGGCCTGGCAAGAGGCCAGAGCACAGTTTAATGAACAATTTGCAAAGATGCATAGGTACTCACTTCCAGGAATAGGAGCAATTGCGTTTCTGGCTTAACTGTTTTCCTATTTGGAATCATACAAGGAAAAAAAAATGATCATAGGGTGGTGATTCCTTGGTCTGGGTATCCTACTCTGAAATGATTCTCATCTTGAAGAAACTAGCAGCTAATAACCCTCAAATATCCACCCCCAGCTCGGAACGTTCTCCTCACCTCAGACCTACATATCATTTCCCCTCCCCCTAAATCTGCGTCCCCCATCTCCTTGAATGTCACCACCATCTGCCAGTTTCCCAGGCAGGAAAAAATAGAATAAACGGTGGCTCCTCCTCCCCCTCTGCCAGCACAGCTAGCTCTACCTCCCGAGTCCTGAAGCCCACACCTTGCCTGGGCCTGGTCAACTCTCACCTGTACTGTGGCCACAGGTGCCCCTGCCTCCAGCTGTGCCCATCCACGAACCCACCTTCCACACTGCACCCGAGTCACCTCTTCTAAGCCGGCCTGGCCGGGTCGCTCACTTGCTAAAATCCCTGAGGGCTCCCAAGTCCATGCTGCTCATTCCGGCACTCAGGGCCCTTCCAGATTTCGTCTTGGGCCCCCTCGCTTCCAACCACTGCCCCAGCCAGGTGCCCTAGGCCCTCCCGCCTTGCTGCCCACTGGCCTGCCCTGGGCCCGAGACTCGGTGCCCCCTGGACACCCAGCTCCCCTCCCACTCAAGGCCTCGCTCTGCACCTGCAGTTCAGCTCCCTCTCCCAGCTCTGGTCCTGTCCAGAACCGGGGCCACGTGTCACCCCCTCCAGCCACCTGTGTCCATTCCTGAGGCAGAACCCTGAGCATGTGATACACGGGCAATAAATACTGCCCAACTGACTGATGACCCAGGAAAATCAGGACGATGTCTCATGGTACTGATTGGTACCAAGGCATTCTCCCCTCGTGATTAAATGGCCTCGAGCCCAGTGCTCGCATTCCCAAGCAAGCACGCCATCAGTGCCTGGGGCGGGGGCATCTTGGTGTCTTCGCACCTGCTCCCCCCGGGCCCCGGCTGCCTGGCACACGTCTGCTGCACTTGCAAACCCAGCTGAGATGTCTCCGTGGCTTCCGCGCCCCACTCCCGTTCCCTGGACTTGCTTCCTTGTCCCCTTGTCACGCCTGCACGGCACTGGTATCTACGCCCGTCTCTCTCACTACTTTGTGAGCTCATTGAAGGCACGGGCCACATCTTAGTCGACTCCTGTTTTTGTAGGACCTGGCACGTGCTAGGTGCTTGGGGATGTTTCATGGAATCTGTTGAATTGGAAAAGTTTGCTCTTAACAGCGACACGAGCCTCAAAATATCAATGTTATGATGCTTCGTACCGTGTGAGCCCTCTCAAATGAGAACGAAGTTCAACAGCGAGACACGCTGGACCGCCCTGCCCAGATGGGCCTCTCTTCAGGCCAGCCCGGGGAGAGAGGATGCCCTGCGGTGAATAAAAAGTCACAGCTCCTTCTAAGGGGTCCTGAGGCTGGTCTCAAAGCAAGGACAGGCGAGGGCAGAACCAGAGACGCACGGAGGAGAATCTCTTTCCAGGCTCAACAGTGTGGACGGTTCTGGGGAGAGAAACGCTCCCTCCTACGCAGAGGAGGGTCCCCGCTCCTCGGGAGAGGCAAGCGTTCCCACGGGGCTGCGATCTTCCTTGGGCTCAAGTGATTTTGTCATCATCACCTTGAACTTCAGGCAGTAAATAAAAGTCAGGTGGTTACTTTTCAGATGAAATGAAATGTTTCCCCCATTAAGGTTATAGGAAGGAAGATGAGAAAAAAGCGACACTCTTCCCAGAAATTAGCTCTTCAATTACTGGGTAAGTGGCAATCAACCCGCAAGTTTCTGTTAAAGGGAAGGTTTGGAGATGCACAGTTTGAATACGCTCAGCCACAATGGAAGCAGCTCGGAGGACTCTTCAATCAGCGGAATTGTCCCACAGTCGTGATCTCGTCTGCTCTTCACACCACTCTGTCAACGAGGCTGTTGTCACAGCCCTGCTCCAGGTGAAGCGCCAGGCCTAGAAAGGTGTCGCGCCCCCCCCACCCCCCCCACCCCCCGCAGAACTGAAAACTCTGTGGGTCCTTCCTGTCCGGTGTTTTAGCCACCCCTCGCTCCAAGAGCACATCCTGGTTCACACTGGGGGCTACAAAGTCCTAAGTGCTGCTCTTTATTTCTTATTTAAGACTGTTTTAGATTATACTAGTAATTCATGCTCTTGCAGACATTTTGAGACGTGTATAAAGGAATTAAAATAGTTTGTAATCCCACAACTTGGAGAAAAATTAACATTTTGATTTCTTACCTTTATTTATAAAGTTAGGATCACATTACATGTATTTTCTTTTCTTTCTTTATGTATGTATTTTTTAAGGGGGTACAGTGTTTTGCTTACATGAAATCTTGCATAAAGCTTCAGGAAGGGCTTTTGGTGTGCCTGTCTCAAGAATAGTGTTCATTGGACCCAAAAGGTAAGTTTTGTCCCACACCCTCCCCTCTTGCCTTCCCTGCTTCTTGGTTGCTCATGTCCTTTATATCACTTTGCACATTACATGTATTTTAAATTCTTCTTTTTATACCTTCCATCACAAGTATCTTCCCATGGCATTAAATATGTTTTCATGAGTGTGATTTCCCATGACACATATACTCTGTATCACGCCTAAACCACACTGTGATTAACGATTCCCCCTCAGTTAGACATTCAGTGTCACATGGCCCGTCATTTGACTACACAGTCCAGTGATCCACGTGCCACAGTCCCCTGAGCCACGAGCTTCCTCTCTCAGAAGCAGACGCCGCCACAGCAGAGGTGGCTCTGGAGATCATGCTCCGGCCACGTCGCTTATTATTGCGTTGTAGCATAATGTAACAATGCAGATGAAGTTCACCATTGCAGAGCACAATTCCCTGGTATTTAGCACTTTCACATGATCGTGTGACCATCACCGCCATCTAGTTCCACAAGCTTTTCACGGAGATGTCGTTGTAGAGAAGAAATTTAAACTCATATAGACAGGGATGTCGGTGTCAGTGGATCATTTAATCAACACATGGTCCGGGTTGGTGGCCTTCACGGGGGTAGCCCTGGTGATGGGGACCCCACCGCCTCCAGGACCCCTTAGACTGGACAGGTGTCCCCATTGTCAGCCCGAGGATGTCCTCCCCCAGCGTTCCCCTCTAGCCCCCAGAGCCACACCGAGCGAGCCCCGCTTTCTCTTCCGGCCCTTCACATTCCTTTCAAGGGTTGCTCTATTGACGGGACGACGACCACTTCCCGTCCTTCCTGGATCTTGATTAATAACCTCAAGATGAAAAGGCCCTTCAAAGCCACAGATACCATTTTCATGGACTTAACCGCAAATTCAGGGGGAAGCGGTTTTACTCAGCTGGAAGAAGGCACTAAAGATATAGCTGAGATATAAGGGGAAATAAAACAATGAGAAATGGTGTCTTTGCTGGAGATAATTCTAATTATCACATGGAGGTCTAAGCCATCACAAATACTGTAAAATCCTGTTTTTACTTAATGGCATTTTAATGGAAATGTCAGGCCTATGAAATAAAAGCGACTGGTAAAGAAAATATAAATCAAGCTTACTAGTCCTTTGGGATAATTTTTTTAAAAATTGAATTTAGTGTATCCTTGGGTTTATTAAATAGGGGAAAGAATTCTGAAATGTTTTATCTGTTAACATTCTTCAAATAAAATGGAATTCTCTTTTAATTAAAACTCGTGAAAAGCCACCTATCTCTATTTTAAAAAAAATCACCATTTGTCAGGGACCAACAGTATGCCAAGCCTGGCACCAAGCAACTTACCCATAGTATCTCACTTATTTCTCATAACAATTCCATGAGATAGGTAAGATCTATTCCCATTTTACAGATTAGGATGCTGAGGCCCAGAGAGGCTTGAATACTTGCCCAAGGTCACTCCATCAGTACTGGAATCAGGACTTACACTTGGAACTGTCTTACAACACTCACCATGCTTAGTTCACTACAGAGCTAATTTGTGCTAATTTGGCTTAAATCAAACCAGAGACTTTTCTTCTTCTTACGTATAAACTGTGAGTATTCCCAGAAATTAACAAAGTAGGGAGGTAGATCTATCTAGCAAGGCCAAATTCTAGTTTCAGAGAAGTTCCTTGAGTTAATATCCATCTCTACTTAAGCATTCCTTCCATCATTTATTCATTCGTGAAACGTTTTCCAAGCACTTACGAGCCCTAGGGGCCTTAGACACAGAGGCGAGGTGGACACAGTCCCTGCCAGCCAGAAGCACGTGACCAAGCGGCAGAAGACAAGACCTACACGTGCACAGTGACCTGCTTGCGTGACGACCAGAGAGCCAGCGTGGGTCTAGGTCATATGGGACCCTGAATGTCAGAGAAGGGTTCTTGGACTTGGTAATGCATGGGGACAACGAGGGGAATGGGGTGGATTTTGAGGATAGGAGTGGCAAGATTAGAACCGTGGTGAAGACAGACAAATCTGCCAGCAGTGTGTATTCCGAACCGAGAGGGAAGGAGTGGAAGATATTAGGAAGCTATTAGAATGATCT